GCCCTTAATCCCAGCACTCGGGAGGCAGAAGCAGGCAGATTTCTGAATTCGAGACCAGCCTGATCTAAAAGAGCTAGTTTCAGGACAGGCTTCAAAGCTACAGAGAAACGTCCTGAAAAACCAAAAAGAAAGGGCAGGGGATGTGGCTCAGGGGAAAGTGCTCTTTTGCCCAGCCTGTCCACGTCCCAGAGTTCAACCCCTAGAACTGGAGGAAACTTTTCTAGGCAAATATAAATCACGTTTTCTTTTTGCTTAGCCTCCAACCTCCTAGAACATTCTGTCAGTTGAGATGATACAGGCCTGGTTCTGCCATCCAGGGCTTGCTCACTATCCTCAGCACCCACAGGGCTGACGGAGAAAAGCTAGAGAAAGCTGTGGGCTCTACCGTTAGGAAGCTCCCTAGCCTCGCGGAAGACGGAGGGCGAGCCCTGTACGAAGCCCCCAGGACAGTCCTTCAACCAGACACACCCCCACACCAGCCACTTCCTCTGTTCCCAGAAAATCCACAAAGCTGAAAATCCTTCCTGAAGAGTTAGAGTGTCCTTCAGTGCTTGCCCAGCATGCACAAGGCCCGAGTTCTAGACCCAGCATCACAAACAAAAAGGAAAGAAAAAGAACATTTCTCCAAAGATTACACAGGGTGTACCCAAGCTAGTCGCCTCAAACTCCATTTCTCCGTAGAGATTTTGTGTAAAACCCTGACGCAGAGGGCTGAGGTCAGAGCACTTGCCTGGCACGCATGAGGTCCCGGGATGCAGTCTCAGTATGACAAGCAAACAAATCAACTGATTAATAAATAGAATAGAACTTGATCTAGAACTGGGCAAGGGATGAACAAGGAACCCAGCACTCTGCCGTTTCCAGAACCCTTGTCTTGTTCCTTGGAGAAATAATCAGGCTAGCATGTTCTCTCCACCACACCCCTCTCAGGGTCCTGGCAGTGGTCCTACGGCCACTCCTGACGATGACCTGTGAGGATCTGGCAACCTGAACTCACACAAAGAAAAAATTCCATGGGCTGACTGACTCTCCCTTCTAAAGCCAAGCACCCCTGTGCTCTCACAGCCAGACTCTGTCCCACCCTTCCACAGATGATGGCAAGATAAATGTCCAGCCTCCGAGAACATTCCGCCACCTGCCTCAGGCAGGAATCTCCCCCTGCCTGTCTTGCTCTAACTGTGACTGAAGAAATCCCTTCACGGTTGTCCAAGCGACCCAAGGCTCCTCTCTCCCTACCCAAAGCTCTGCCCACTGTCACCTCCCATCAACTATTACTTGGGGCTCAGTGCCAAGGTGGAGGACAGCCAGGTTGGACGGCAGCCAGGAAGAAACAACACTAGTCTTTCATCCTGGCCAAAGCAACTCATGAAGCCATCCTGGGGGCTCCAGGGGAAGGGGTAGGCACGATTCTGGCCTGGTGAGCCTGGCAGGAACCTGGCAGAAGGCTGCCAGACACAAGATCTTTGCTAGGAAGACACAAAACAGAGCACTCAGCCAGATAATGGGTCCTTCTGCTCAGGTTTCACTCTGAGTCAACAGCCCCCTTAGGCAGAGAGCCCCACCCCAGGGCCCACCCTATGTGTCATCAGCCCCTCCCCAGTGCCCTCTGCACTGGCCCTAACACTCAACCGGATATGCAATCCCATCCCCCAGGAGGGTCACCCTGGCCTTAGTGCAGCTCCCATTTCCTGCCCCTGGTGACTCCTCTGAGGTCTATTGTTCCCATTGAGTTTGGGTCAAAGGAAGCTGGGACCCCACCCATGGGGGCCTGCCTGCCCACCCTAGCCTAGAAGCTGGCCCAAACCATGGAGCAGCAGGCCCATCTTCCTACCTTTCTGGAAGCTGGCCTGCGTTGCAAGCAAACAGATGGGCACAGATCTTGGCCTGAAGTTCTGGCGGGAAATTTCCCACAGATCCTGCCCCACCAGCCGAGGGCTCCAGGAACAACCACACAGGTGCGACTAGACTCTCCCCAAAACACAGCCTTAAAAAATGGCACGGAGAAAGCTACCATTCCACAAGAGGTCAGAGCAACACTGGAGACATGGGCTCCATACTCCCAGTGAGGCAGCCAGCCCTACCCCAGCTTCCACCTGGGCCCCTGGTCCTGGCAACACCCCCGCCCTCAGGGTGCTGGGGAGCAGCTGTTCAGCTCCAATTTCAGAGCTTTAAAGAGAGCCCTTGTTCCCACTTCTGCCAACCAAGGGTCAAGGGGGCAAAGAGGGAAAGCCGCTCTCAGGAGCCCTGAATTCCCAACTTCCTCCAGACTAGCCTCAACTACAAGAAGGGTAAGACGGCAAGTCAGGGACCAATGTCTTCTACCTCCCCTGAGAAAGAGCAGACACAAGTGTGGCTATAGCTATTGCTTTATGACAGTCACCAGCACAAGACTGCAGAATGGAGGCCAAAGGAGGCTGTGACATTTGCATCCTTGGATCTGGAAAGATGGAGCTGGGGGTAGAAGCTCAGGGGCAGAGCAGTGTGCTTAGCAAAGCCAAGGCCCTGGGTCCATCCTTAGGACCAAAACGCAAAATGACAGAGTGGATGGATGCACAGATAATCAGACAGATGGATAGATGGATGGATACAAACACACACACATACATACATACACACACACATACATACATACACACACATGCACACACATATACATACATACATGCACACATACATATACACACACACACATACACACTCCACACACACACAGCACACCCAGCAGAGCAATACTCAGACCTTCAACTGGAGAATGATACTACCTGCTGGCAAAGGATAGCCTCTCCATGGCACGGGACCCACAGCAAACGCTCAGTTCATATTGGCAAAACGACACGGTGAACAGAGTGATGAAGTTTCCCAAGGGGGGCTCAGAGAAACAGTTGCTCAAAATCCTCTAGCGTCATGTGTTATCGGACCCTGGATCCAACCCTCAGCATGGAAAAGGGAAGAGGGGTTCTTGCCAAAGCAAGCTGGGGAAAAGCTACTCCATTTCCAAGGGCCTTGGGATGTACTACCAGGGGCTTGGGATGTACCACCACCCAGCCACCCCTCCTCACCTCCACTCCCCCTCACCCTGTCACCCCTCCTCATCCCCCAATTCCCTCCTCACCCCCCCCCACACATGTTACTCATCCGGAAACTGAGCCCAAAAGCCTTATACATAGTGAGTCTCAGGATACGTGCCCGGTCTGTCTGACCCCAAGCCTGTCCATTTTCTACCAGACAAGAGCTGCTTTTGTAAATCAGCAGTACACGTGGCCTGAGCTGTTAGGAGTATGAAGTATTTCCCAGCAGACTATCTCATCTACATCAGCGTGATAGAAGGATAAACACAAGAGCCCCGACTCCTGACACAGTCTTCTGTTCCTTCCTTCCAAGAAACCCTAGCTGCCATCTCTCCGTTGTGTTAATGAGGGAGACCTCTGATGCCAAGTCTGCCTGTGACACTCACACCATGCCCTTGTCAATACCCTGGAGGCAGCCAACAAGCCCCAGGCAGCCCTCACCTTCCGAACTGTCACTAAAGCGGTCCTGCAGCCCCGCAGAAACAAGGTAGCCTAGCAAACTGAAGAGGGAGCCATCCCAACGCTCTGGAAACTGAGGCAGTTTGAACCCAGCATGGTTACAGATCAAGGCACTGTTTATTAAGGAATAATCAAGTCTAATAGTCTAATAATGAATAAGATATTTCCCCTTTGAGACCCCCAAGGAGAAGCGAACCCTGAGATGTAGTTCAGGTGGTAAACATGGACACTCTTTTGTCCTTGAGGCCAACTTAGAAACACTATCAACATCCCAGTGTCGAACACTGGTCAAATAAGCATGGTGACTCAGGCCTGTAATCCCAGTTTAAGGCCAGATTGGTCTTTTGAGTCTGTCTCAAAAAGGGGGGGGGGTTGTTGTTGTTGTTGCTCCTACCCCTTTGGGTTTTTTGGGGGGGGGTGTTGTTTGCTTGTTTTGAGACTGAAAGATGAAAAGTCAGTTTATGCTAGGGTAGTAACCAGGTTATAAGTACCAGGTCAGCCTAGACTAGGCTTCTGTCCCAAAAGAAAACAATCTTAAAAGGTCTCTCCCATTCCCCAAAACCCACCCTATCCCCTAAAGGCAAAGATCGGTCAGCTTTGCTAGCCTTCCAGCAGCTCCCTAAACTGTTCCGGCAGAACAGGATCCACTCTCCCTCAGAAAGACAGCTGGCTGGAAGGGGGGCAGGTGTAGGCAGCTTCCTGCCAGTTCTGCCCAACCCAGCCGGGACGGAGTGGGGAGTGGGGGTGGGCCGACACCTCCAACGACTACTGTCAATTTCTCCCTGCACACAAAGAACTTGGAGACGCTGTCTCCTGCTCCGGTTCTGCAGGAAGAAATCAGAGCCAGAACCAACATCCTCAGAGCGAGGACAGTCTTGGAGGAGGCACCATCACACACCCACTCCGACACTCAGGGTTTCAGACAGCACCCTCTTCAAGGAGTGCTGTAGTACAATGTACACACTGTCACGTTCAGCACAAATACACCTACTGGAAACAAAGTGAGTCATAGCGTACAGATCTCTCTCCTTCAGGTACACCCAAAACTTAGGGATGCTGGCACAGAAAGATCTCGCTTGAACTCACTCACAGAATCGGAGTGTGGGTGTGCCTGGAGCCCCCTGACATGTGCACCGCGGCTCCCACCCTGGGCTGCCTGCTAGGGTACAGTGTCTTGGATTTTGGGGAGTTCACGTTCATCAATCCTCAGCATGGGGAGACAGTGTCTCAAACCCTGGGGACCTCTGCAAAAGGTCCAAGCAACACACTGCCCTCCGGGGCTCGCTTCTCCAGGCCAAAAAGTAGAAAAGGGTCTGGCAGGGGCTCTTTAATCGCCTGTTTCTGCTACTTCAGCCAGGCGACACTGCTCTGCCCAGCCCCTGGGCTCTGATGCCCGCACGTGCCCCCGCTGGTCCTCTAGTGCTGCCCTGGACCACGCGGGACGCGGATATCGTCCGAACCTGGCAGCCTTACCGGTCCCAGGGTGCAGGAGGTAGGGTGGGAGCGCTCGGCCGGTTGCAGGAGGTCCGCGCAGGGCGCCAAGTCTTCCAGCAGCAGCGACGGCTGCAGGGGCCGGAGCGCGGAGCTGCGGCGGTCCCCACCTCCGGGGCTGGAGTTTGCAGAGGAGCCCGGCAGGAATGCACGGAATGGGCGCTGGAATGAGACGCGCGCGGCTGGGGAGGGAGTGGAGGGAGTGGCGCTGCCACCCGCACATCGGGGAGGAGACCTGGCCAGAGAGGGGCTGGGCAGCGCGGCGGGCCCCACCCCGGCGCACCGAGAACCGCCACCTGCCCGGGGATGGGCGGC